TATCTTCTACAGATATCCTTGCACCTCTTCTATTTTCCTCTCTGAAAGGAGCTTGTAGTGTTAGAGCACAGAACTGAGATTCATTACAGAAGGGGCGAGTTAGGCTCCTTCAGAGACCCAGAGGGAATGTGGTACTCATAAACCCTAGAGTTGGTCCTTGTTATCCATCAAGGAAATAATGACTGCAAACTCTGTGACTGATTTCATTGGTGAATGGATAGTAAAAACTTAGCTCAGCAAAACCCCAGTTGCTAGTGTTGACCTGCTACCCTATTTAGCATGATGCGCTAGTGTGAGACTGTTAGCATTCCAAGGCCCTCCTTGCATATGGTGGAATGGAAAAGGAAGACGAGAGAAGGGAAAAACATTTCTTAAGCCTCGAATTGTATTGCAGAACCTGGGCTAGATGATTGATTTATTCCATTTTTGTTCTCATGAGAACTTTTGCAATGTTTTCTCTGTTTTACGAATAAGGAAACTGAGTCTCAGAGAGGTTGACCAGTTAACCCACTCTTATGCCATCAGCTAATGTGCAAGCAAAACAGAGCTTCTAAACAATCTGGTATGCTCACCAGACTGGGAGTTAGAGGGCCCACCCTACCTGGCTGTGGTAATTGGCATAAATAATTTCTCCTTGGGCAAGTCTTTTAGCCTCTCCCTTCAATCATTTGTGTAGCTGTTAAGTGAGGAGCTTGTGAGGCTGAGAAGTGCAGGAGGTTATGAAACACCTAATAGGGAGAGACTGTCACGGAGCACTCAGTTTGATATGAAGATGCAGCCTTCCCAGGGTTGCTTTTCCTCTCCATCTGCCATTTGTTTAGGTGCTTGCGGGCGCCTCTCCTCCTGCGTAATCCAGAGGAATCCATGGTCCTTCCTTAAACTCTACCTTCTAAAGAAACATTCTCCAATCACAAGTGCATCCCTGCTAAGTCCCATTCAGCTACCATGTGTAATACGTGTCATCTCCAAGTCTAAGCTTAACCCCCTATGGAAGCTACATAGCTTCATACCTCCATTGTTTCTCTTCTCTTTGCTGTTTAGCTCATCCATTTAAGCTGGCATTTTTTTTAAGCTAGGGAAACAAATGTTTCATTATATGCTCAATTCTTTGGATATACTGTGTGCATGAACCAAACTCACTTATATAGAGTGTTAAAGATTTGTAATCACCTGCTTGGAAGACTGAGAGGGGTGAGTGAAGCGTGTGGCTGGAGGGAGGGAGCCTGATCTTTTATGACCGTCATCATGAGGTTGGCATTAGCGGGGCCCAGTGAGAGGAATTCCTGGGACCAGGCTGGCTTTCTTATCGACAGCCAGTTGTCTCACAATAGCCTCACCCTTTCTACTAGGGTGAGCAGGGAAGGCCCTTTTCAATGAAGTATTTTTGAATCCTTGGAGGAGGGAGCTCCCAGGGAAGAGATGCTGAATCTATGTGTGGTTTTTATAAGGAGCGGCTTTTACCTCTTTCTTTTCTGCGCAACATCCTGCAGTGCTTGGGGGGACATTTGCTGAGAACATTCTTAAAATAGAGACATGGAAACCAATCTGTCAGGTAGAAGTGTGCAGGCGGCGAAACCCTGGTTACCGTGACACCAAGCTGGGATATGAGTTATCTTGTCCCATCTGACTGATCCCAGTTGAAAGGACCCAGACGGTCATGGGAGGGGCCAAGGGACCATGCCTGCATGGCATGTAGCCTAGTATGAGGGTCCCTGTGCCCAGCTTTGTCCTTAATCATTGCTGTCTCTGTGGCTGTAGGCATCTGGAAGACAACCAGGTCAGCGTCATCGAGAGAGGCGCCTTCCAGGACCTGAAGCAGCTGGAGCGACTGTAAGTACACCACAACCTCCTTTATTAAAGTGTTTATTTAATTTTAGTGTTTGGTTGTTGCTTTATTTATAAATTGGCCTTATGACCTTGTTAAAAAAATCTACAGTGTTGTTATATAATGTTTGCTATTATACATAAAGCACATCAGATGCATGTTAAAGAAACACTGAGATCCGCTTACATTCCTTTTCTGTAAAAGTTCCTAGAATCAGCTTCCAGGGTTTGTTTCCCTTCTCCTCAGGCTCGAGCTCTGTCTTGGTACCTGTATAAGGGGCTGGTTTTTACCCAAGTGTAAGCCTTCCCTTCCACGGAGGAGGGAAGCCTGCAGTTATCCCTGTCATGAGATCTGGCATCAGATACTCCCTACTCCTCTGCATGGGCAGAAGCTCCCTCCTGAGGCCCTCTCCTCCCTGAGTGTTCTCTGCCCCACTCCTGTGGGAGAGGAAGGACTGGTGAGTGGGCGCAGCTTTCAGTGCGCTCGTATCTCCTGTGAGTGAGCATCAGCCTGTGTCAAGAAGCCCCCACGTTTCCACGAGAGAATGCATTGCCAGTGGTTTAAAAATAGACCACTGTTCTGACTCAATGAGGGAGAGAGGAAAAGGGGTGGGAATGGAAGATGGTTGGAGCCTCCATTTGTTTTGTTGATGAATACTTTTGCAGAAAACTCTTGGATTACTTTGATGAGGGGGGCTGCTCAGATGGTTAAGTAGGCGACTTCACCTTTCCTCTGTTAATCACATCTGGCAGCTCATAACATCTGGATATTTGCTTTCTGCCCTCTGAGCAGGGATTGTCCCCAAGAGCCCTTAGTCATGCTGGTGGGTGGCTGTCTTCAAGGTTCCCTCTGAATCTTGGTTGCCCTGACATTTCAGCCTCCTTCTGCAGTTGGAGGGGTGAAGCTGCAACAGTTCATGGCTCTGCCAGCTTCCCTAGAAGAACCGTGTTCTGTTTACCTGTCCAGTTGCCAAATCCCATTTACAGAGGTAGGCTTGGGTAAGGCGGCATGCTTGCCCCTGACTAGTTAGCTTTGAGATGTGTGATATTTTTTCCCCTGGAGTCAATTTATCTGAAGCTACGTAAGAACAGGAAAGGTCCCTGTTGCATGTCGATTAGTATTACCCAGAAAAATGCTTTCCTGCCTGTCTGTTGTGTGAATTGTCTCATTTATTGTTCTCCTTTTGGGTCAAATCCCAGCATATGTTCTTCTGGTGTTGGTTTGAAAATATGACATTTATTTCTTGCAAGGGAAAATAGTTATAAAAAGAATGAATGTTGTCTCTGTTTACACGTTTATTTTTAAGTTTCTTAAAACTCAAGTTCTTCTCCTTATTTAGACCAAAGATAAGTATTTACTGAACCTGGTTCCTTTATATGAAATAGTCAGCATTTCTACAGAAAGATCAATACATGGTCCTTGGTGAAAAGGCCACCCCTTGCTTAGTCTTCTGATTAGAAAGGTTAAAAAAATTCTCCATTCATTCATTTCCTGGTTGTTGGGAAGGAACTGAGTACCTTGGACATGCAGGAACTATGCCAGTGTTTTACATGCTATTTGTATTTTTTATTGAAACAAAATTCCTATGAGGTGTAATTACCATCATTTTGCAGATGAAGAAACAGAGACCCAGAGAGACTGAGTCAACGAATGGTCAGGAGGGGAGCCAAGATTCAAAGCCCTTCTGTCTGACATGAAAGATGATGTTCTTTCATACTCCTGTGCGGCAGATATTAGATGAAGTATTATCTTTAGCAAGGGCCCTGAAAGTAGCCTCTCACATAAACATTTAACTCCAGGGAATATTGGTGACATATTTTGGCAAAGCCTCTTTGGTTTGGTGAACAAGGCTGAAATGCCCATGCATGTCTGGGGAACTGAATGGATTACAATTGCAGAGGAAACCTGGTTATTTCTCCATGTTGGTGTATCAGGTGGGTCATGCTAGCTGCTATGCTAGGTAAACCCTCAAATCTCTGTGACTGAACACAGTGGAAGTTTACTTCTTATTCATGTGAAACCCAAATATGGGCATCCCTGATAAGGCCTCTCTCCTTCAAGTGGAGACTCGGGGACAAAGTCTTCTTCCTCTCCTCGACTTACCCTCTTTAAATCCTGGCTTCCAAGGTACCAGTGTTTGTCTACATCAAGCCAGTAGAAAAGAAAGCAGCATGAAAAAATTCACATGGGAAGTTTTCAAATCCCAAGAAGTACATGTTGCTTCCACTCTCACATGCTTTGGGGTGGAACTCAGTCACGTGGCCACAGGAAACTACAGAGGAGAGAGGAAAGGTAGTTGAGCTATGTGTCCAGGAAGTAGAAGAAACAGGCTTAGTGAACAGGTAGCCAATCTCTGACTTCCACTGCAAGTGCTCTGAAGAAGTACTTAATCAGGATGAAGGTTGGAATATAGGTAGCTGGGTTCATACACACAGTTGAATAGTCATTCTCATAATACCTTTCAGTGTTAGCAAGAAGGGATATGTGTGACATTAATCCTGATTGGCATTAATCTGGTTTTTGTTATCCATTCTGTTTTCATACATACTGGGGAATGTAGAATGGAAAAACATAATATATTTGCTATTAACAACTCAAGATGATGATGGATTGTGACATCTCTAGTTCTTACTCCTGGCTCACCATATCTGTGCCTCTGTATTTTTAATAGATTAATCTTAATGATCATATTCTAAAATAGAGCCTGGAAATAATAGGGGTTATGATATTTCATTTCTGGAGGGTTTATCTTCACTCTGAATAGTCATTATTGGTTTGCTCTCTTGGGTCTTCCTGGGAAAGGAAAGGGAAGGCTGTCATCTGGGTCTCAACTCAGAATACTCTATTCCTCCATGAAAGGACCCTATGCTTCTGGCTGAGTTAGATGCCCCTCCTCTCATAATGCAGGTGGCTTCCTACCGCAGCACTTATGACACCACATTTTAATTCCCTGTTTTCCGGGTTGTTTCTTCCCAAAACCATAAATACGTTGAGATCAGGATTCATGTCCCATTTAGCTCCTAATCTCACAGCCTTGAGCAAGATAGTAAGGGCTTGAAGAACATTTATCAAAAACACTTGGGTTGTTCCATATCACTGGTTCTAAGCTGAGCCTAATTTTGCCTTCCAGAGGACACTTGGTAACATTTTGATACATTTTTCATTGTCGCAGCTGGGGGATGCTACCTAGAGGATAGGAACAGGAATATCTCTAAACATCTTTAAATGCACAGGATGGTCCTACAACAAAGAATTCTTCAGCCCCAAATGTCACTAGTGCCAAAGTTGAGAAATTCTGCTCTTTAACTGTCATACGTCAGATAACATGTTGGGTACTTTACATAGACCATCTCATGTAATCTATGCAAGAAGATTATGAGGTTAGAATTACAAAATATGATGTGATAAAATATACAATTCAAAGCATCACCTATGAAGTACTGTTGCTTAATATGTTTACCTAAACCTAATTTAGCTAGATCTCAACTCTGGTTTCCAGAAAGTGGATGGGATAGAGGAAAATGTTAAATGAAATGAAAAGAAAACAGACACATTTTGTAGGTGGGGTATTCTTTGAGATAGCTGCCCTGGTCTTTTCAAAAAGTCAATGTCAAGAAAAAGATGGGAGTTCACTTTTAAGTTAAAAAAAAAAAAAAAAAAAAAAATAAAAAAAAAAAAAAAAAAAAAAAAAAAAAAAAAAAAAAAAAAAAGCTTAGAATAGAATCAGTACCACAAAATTGGAAGGGTCAGTGGAATTAAAATGTTCTAAGATTCTTGAATTATTCAGGAAGTAATAATAGTGCTAATATTTATTGCCTTATTAAGTCAAGGCTGTATGTTGAAATCTAGCATAGCCTCTAAAAAGAAAAGCCAAAGATAGTCTGAAGGAAAAGAAGCACTATATGATCCAAAATATGTAGTTAGTTAAAATGAAGGATGAAAGGAAAGGGAACATAGAACAAATAGAAAACAAATAATAAGATGATACATTTATACACAGATATATTACTTTATATGTAAATGTCTTTTAATTCTATTAAATTCTATTTATATGTAAATTTAAAAGACATTGATTGTCACAGTGCATTTAAAAAATAATACCAAACATATACTTTTTACAAAAGAGTAACATTAAAGATAAGGATAAAGAAAACTTGAAGGAAAAAAAAATAGGAAATGATAGCATGAAAACACCAAAACGTTAATGTAACTCTGTTAATACTAAATAATAGACTTTAAAGAAAAAAATTAGATATAAAGAAGGAATTTTATAATAGTAAAATAGGAAATATACCAGGAAGAAATACCAAATCTATATTTGTACGTGTCTAAAAACATAGCCTGAAAATATGGAAAACAAATAGAACTAAAGAGATAAATAGACAAATTCATAATCATAGTTAAGATACATTTTTGATAATTAATAGAACAAGGAGATACAATTGTTACTAAAAATATAGAATATTACATAACAAAATTTGTAAACCTGACATAATTTATACATAGAGAACACTCTAAACAATAACATAGAACAGACATTCTTTTCAAGGGCATATGAAAGTTTTGTTATATTCTGGTCTTGAAAGGAGGTCAACAAATACAAAGGATTGATATCATATGGAGCATGTTTTATGACATCAGGAATAATCAAGAAGTTAAGAAAAGTAGAAAAATTCAAAATATTTGAAAACTGAATAGTGTACCTCTAAATACTTCAAGTCAAAGAACATATCGCAATGGAAGTTAGAACATATTTTTCTGAACGTTAATAAACATTTAATGTATCACAATGTGTTGACTTCAGCCAAAGCCATGCTCAGAGGAAAATGTATAGCCTTTAAGCTACATTAGTCAATTTATGCTATATATTATGTATAGTATATGTCTTAAAAGAAGATGTAACTTGATTAAAATATCCTTCTCATGAAGTTAGGACAAGAACAACAAAACAGAAGGAAATTATTAAGAGTAGAATTATATGAAATATAAATGAATGTGTAATAGAAAAATTGTAAAAAGCCAAGTGAATTCTTGAAGCAATTAAAATTACAGACACTGACAAGACATATCAAAAAAACCAAAAAGACTAAATTGCCAATATGTGGAATAAAAAGGAGGATATAGCTATGGATATTACAAACATTAAAGTGATAATAAGAGCAGACTTTGAACAAGTTTATCTCAATGATTTTAAAGAGTAAATGAAATTGAAAACAGAAGCAGGAAGGGAAAGAAAATCTGTCATGTCTAGTAGGGGAATTAAATATTTAATTAAAACATTCTATCAAAATCCAGGCTCGGATGGCTTCAGCAATAAATTCTAACAAAGTTTTAAGGAATTAAGTATAGCAACTTATTATAAACTCATTGTATAAAAAGAATGAATATTTGTTTATTTGGCCAGCATAACTTTGAAAGCAAAACCCAGTAAGGACATTTCAAGAAAAAAATACATAAACCAATGTGTTTCATGAATATTTTTACAAAATTTGTAACAAAATA